GCCAGGTTGGGCTATCGTAGTGATCTTGGAAGCCATCTTGGGCTCCCTGAGGCCCTCTTGGAGCCATCTTGAGGCCATCTTGGACGCTCCAACCGATCGCGGTCCCTCCCGGTCAGGTCCAGGGGAGGGGGTGGGGGGAGGGGTAAGCCGGTAAGCCCCTTCCCGAAGGGGGAGAGGGTTCTGGAAAAGGAAAGACAGTCATCGTTGGACCACCTGCGCTCAGAGGGCTGGTGGGATTGAGGAGGAGAAGGAGGAGGAGGAGGAGGAAGAGGAGGAGGAGGAGGAGGAGGAGGAGCGTGAAGAGGAGGAGAAGGGACAGGATGATGATGATGATGATGATGATGATGATGAGGATGAGGATGAGGATGAGGATGAGGATGAGGATGAGGATGAGGATGAGGATGAGGATGAGGATGAGGATGAGGATGAGGATGAGGATGAGGATGAGGATGAGGATGGATGAGGATGAGGATGATGATGATGCTGATGCTGATGCTGATGCTGATGCTGATGCTGATGCTGATGATGATGATGATGATGATGATGATGATGATGATGATGATGATGATGATGATGATGATTATGATGATGATGATGACGTTGACGATGACCTTGACGATGATGATGATGATGATGATGATGATGATGATGATTATGACGTTGACGATGACCTTGACGATGATGATGATGCTGATGATGATGATGATGATGATGCTGATGATGATGATGATGCTGATGATGATGCTGACGCTGATGCTGATGCTGATGCTGATGCTGCTCATGATGATGCTGCTCATGATGATGATGATGATGATGATGATGATGATGAGGAGGAGGAGGAGGAGGAGGAGGAGGAGGAGGAGGAGGAGGAGGAGGAGGAGGAGGAGAGGGCTTGTTCACCGAAGACGCCTACGGCGACCCTCGGACGCCCCCTGCCTTTGCCACCGTTTTCTGATACTCATTGTTTTGCGGATAGGCGCAGGCCCTCGCCAGCCCCCCCATGGAGCAGATTTTGGCGTTTTTGGGCGCCTGTTTCAAGCAGGAAGCACGGGGGCCGCGCCTCCGCCCCTATCCCTACTAGTGGACACGCGAATCGTTATTTCGCGCAGCTGTGTGTAGTGTTTTCTGGGCGGCCCTGGGAAACACAAGAAAGGGCCTGCTGGGCGCCAGATGCGCTGTACAAGAGCATACCCCTGGGGGTAGCCAGTTGCTGTGGGATCTTCGGGCATCGCACATCCTGAAGAATCCAATCGGATTCCAAATGGATCCTAGTTGGGTAGGATCCCCCCCAGAAGCCTCGATCGTCACGCTCGAGCACCTTGGCTTCGAGGCGGAACTTTTGAACCCCCCTCCCGGGACAGCACGCGCATATTGCCTTTGGTTTCTGCACGAACCAAGGTTTCACGTGTTGGCTCGCTTATTGCAGGTTGGCCCTCGCGTGGCTCCGGGTTTGCTTGGTGCATCTCGCCGACATGTGTCTTTCGTGTTTCATGTTCGTTGGTGTAAAAAGGTATCCGTCCCCCATAGGATTTCCCCATGGGATTCGGCAACAGTTGTACTAAGCAGAGGTCCAGAGCCAGACCCAACCCCACCCCCCCCTTTCGCCCAATGTCGAAACGCCGAATGCGAAAACGTTCACAACTGGAAGCGTTTATGAGGCCAAACGTGGCGGGGCCGAAGTCTTTCCAAGCTACTGGACTACGCGTTCCCCGAGCCGTCGTGGAAGCTCTTGGGTGAACACGTCGGAGAGGGACGAGGGAGGATGGAGAGGAGGAGCATGGGGAGGAGACGGAGGGAGAGCAGGCATCTTGGGGGCCTTCTGGGGTCCTTCGAAGGGCGTCCTGAGGGTCTATTGCGGGTCTCCAAGGGCCTCTTGTCGGCCTCCTGGGGACACGACTGCCGCTCGAGACTCCATCGATTTTCTGATGTTTGGCTCCCGCGCGAACGGTCATTGTAGATTTCCCCATCGCGCTTGCCGAAGGGGTTCTTACTTGGTTAGAAAGAGCGTGATCTACTGCTACTGGCGGAAAACCGGGGGGGGTCACTACCGGTTCGAACCCCTCCCCCCCCCCCCCTCCGGAAAACCGGGGGGGGTCACCGGTTCGAACCCCTCCCCCCCCCCCAGTTCATCATGAAAAGGGGGGGGGGTCAGTACCGGTTCGAACCCCCTCCCCCCCCCCCCCCTCGAACTCGAAAACGGGGGGGGGTCACTACCGGTTCGAACCCCCCCCCCCCTCGAAAACCGAGGGGGGGTGCGGACAGTGGTGGGGACGGTGGTGGTGGGGACAGTGGCGAGAGGACAGCGGGACAGTGGTGGGGACAGTGGGACAGTGGTGGGGACGGTAGTGGTGGGGACCATGGTGAGGACAATGGTGGGATCAGTGGGGACAGTGGGACAGTGGTGGGGACGGTGGTGGTGGGGACAGTGGTGTGGGGACAGTGGGAATGTGGTGGAAACAGTAGTACAATGGAGGGTACAGTGGTGGTGGGGACAGTGGTGGTGGGGACAGTGGTGAAGGCGGTGGCGACGACGGCGGTGGGACAATGGGACAGAGGTACAGTGGGGACAGTGGTGGGGACAGTGGGGACAGTGGTGGGAACAGTGGGACAGCTCAGTGGGACAGCGGAGCAGTCAGTGGGACAGTGGGGACAGTGGGGATAGTAGTGGAGAAAGTTGGGAGAGTGGAGCCGTGGTGGGAACAGCGGTGGGGCGGTGGGGACAGTGGGGACAGTGCGACAGTGGTGGTGGCATTGGTGGGGACAGTAGGGGCGGTGGTGGAACCAGCGGGGACAGTGGTGGTGAGGACAGTGGTGCTGGGAACAACAGTGGGGGATGTGGTGGGGACGGTGGGAGGGACCGGGAGTCGTTTGCTGGAGGTGAGAGGAGGGGGGGGGAGGGGTTCGAACTGGTAGTGACCCCCCCCTTCGGTTTTCGAGGGGGGGGGGGGTTCGAACCTAGTGACCCCCCCGGTTTTCGAGTTCGAGAGGGGGGGGGGTTAGGGGAGGGGGGGGTTTTTTGGAAGGGGGGGGGGAGGGGTTCCAGCAGGGAGGGGGGGGGGGATTTTCGGAAGGGGGGGGGGACCCCCGGGCTCCGGAGGAAAAGGCTGGCAATTTTCCACAGTATAGCGGCGGTGGATCACGCTCTCTCCTTGGTTAAGAACTGGTGTCTCGAGGCCCAACTTTGCCTGCTCCCCGGATCTTCCTCGGGTTCCTCGAGTTCCTCGGGCTCCCGCGGACTCCTCGGGTTCCCCGGTTCCCCGTGTTCCCGGTTTCCTCGGGCTCCTCGGGTTTCTCGGGTTCCCCTGGTTCTTCGGGTTCCTGGGGCTCCTGGGGTTTCTCGGGTCGTTCGGGTTCATCGGGTTCCTTGGGTTCCCCGGGTTCTTCAGGTTTCTCGGGTTCCTCGGGTTCTTTTGGTTCCCCAGGTCCTTTGAGTTCCTCGGGTTCCCCGGGTTTTTCGGGTTCCCGAGGTTCCCCGGTTCTTCGGGTTCCCCGGGTTCCCCAAGCAATGCCAAGCGATACCAACCAATGCTAAGCAATGCCAAACATGCCAAGCAATACGAAGCAATGCCAAGCAATGCCAAGCAATGCGAGGCAATGCCAAGCAATGCCGAGCATTGCCTGGCAATGCCAAGCGATGCCAAGCGATGCGCCCAGCGATGCGCCCATGCAAGCGGTTGTTCCCTCATTGGGGTCGCGCCGGATTAATTTTGTTTGGAGGAATTGTGCGCGTTTGGTGTTGGTGGGGGGGAATGTTTTGTGGATGATACTTCTTTCATTCTGGAAGACAACGTAAGGGTGCGGCTTTCTGGCTCAGCCGAGGGCACGTTGGTGGATCTTATGAACCTCCGCTTCTGCTACGGCACCCCGCCTTCTCTCAGTACTTCGACCGTTGCAGTCTTCGCCGTCAGGCGCCTTGATGTCGAGTGGTGTCTTGTCCACTATGCGCGAGAGGTGCAGAGGAATGCGAGCTCTCCCCAGAAGCATGGATAATACCAGACGTCCTCCCGCCTCGCCCATCCCTTGTTTCCTCCTCTCGCGCTCCCTCCTCTTCTGGCTCCTGTCCCCTCCAGTCTGCCCCTCCTCTCTACATCACCCCTCATTCCTCCCTCTTCCAGGAGGGAAGGAGCCCCTCACCCCCCCCATCATCCCTCGAGAAGGGGATCGACTACATAATCGATGTACCTCGCAATTGACTTTCCCGCTGAATCTACGGGAAGTACGTATAGTGCCCCGTAGATCTACGAACATTCTACGTCTGTCTTGCATACTCGGCGGGAAAATCAATTTTGGGGTATCAATTCTGTTGTCGATCCCCTAGTCGAATCCCTCCGTCTTCCAGGATGGGGGAAGGCGGGAGGAGTACGCGGCAATGCCGAGGGTGATGAGGAGGCGTCCTTCTCATCTCCCTCGCCATGCCCCTCAGCTCTTTCCCCACCCTCTGTCGTCCTCTCGTCCTCCCAGCGTTGTCAGCTGCAGGCAGTTCCTTTCAGGAGAGCCGCGTCTTTTCTGTGTATGTTTCGGCCCTGTGCACGGCGCCGACATTCATTGGGGCACGCTCTCTGGACGAAGCGGTAGGTCGCTGTATCCAGCTGTATCTCTCCATCGTCATTTGTCGTCCACCATTTTCCCTTCCGCAGAAGGCATCTGCACACCACCACCATGCTTGGCCAGGGCCATTTTGGACCCCTGGATATTGCAAGGACCCTCATGACCCTCATGGCCCCTGGTACAGGAGGGCGTATACCCTGCGCCAGGGCCCGGCGGGATGGCCCTGGCCAGGCAGCCAAGACGTTAATATAAGAACCACGTTGATCTCAGGAAAGGCCCGGCTTTTCGGGTCGTTCATTATGCTCAGGTCGTGGAACCTGTTCGTGGCCGAGGCTCGCCGTAGCCAGGAAAGCTCCTTCCCTTCTTGACTGGCGCTTCTTCTGGTAGCGCGTTGACTGTAGTCTATAGGTGCCTCTCTCTCTCTCTCACCCCCCGCCACACCCGTCACGGAGGCGTTTGCCGGGCTGTCGGGAGAGGACGAGGAGGCGCCTCGCGTATACGGACGGGCCGCCGCAGCAGCAGCGCTGAGGAAGATGAGCATGGTCGAGGACTTGAGGTTTGAGGTTCGAGGACCGAGATTCGAGGACGTTACACGCCAGTCTTTGAAAGTGGGTATTGCCGGAATCCCACATCCCAATGTACTTCAAGTGCCTTTCTACTTCAATAATCGATTTGCTTTGCTGTGTTTTGTTATTCTCTGGGAGGGCTTGGACCCAGCCTACTTGATTCGCCTTCCTACTTCATGCTTTTTATCTACTTCTCCCGACCGACGTGTACTCACGGGCAGCGTTAAGGGGGGTTCGGCTCAGGGGTCACCAGTCCGAGACACATGCCAATAAAGACGCTGCTTGCCTCCAGGGTGCCTTGGGTTTCTTGGGTTTCGATGGTCACCACACATCGATGGACGTCCTGGGGTCTCAGGGTTGGCTTTCTTGTGAAAGGTTTCTTGTGGTCGAGCTCGTGCTGTAGATTCCTCTCGCTTCGCGGGGTGCACGTCCAGAGCACGTAAAGACTGGGCGTCTGGTGGTTTTCCCTGTACGTCTGTCGCGCCGGTCTGCCGTGTCGTTCTGCCCGAACTGGGGAGCTGCCAGCGCCATTGAGGCCTCTGGAGGGCCTCTGCGAGCTGCTTGGAGTATGTCCAGTCCAGGTTTCTTTGGAGACCTTTGGAGCCACTTTTGGGATCTCCTGGGGGCTTCTTGGGTGCCTGTTGGAGACTCCCTTGGGGGCCTCTGCGGAATTCCTGGAGGTCTCTTGGGGGTCTGTTGAATCGTATTGGGTGGTTTCTTGGGGCCTCTTCGAGGGCTAATTGCATCAATGAAGATACCTGATGGCACTGAGGAGACACACAGGCAAAGTATAGCAGACGTATTCGCAACCTTCTACGAGGAGCTATACAAGAATCCGCACCGTTCAGACAGCTTCCGCGACACCCCAACGACAACTCAGCACGACTCAACCATCCCACCTTTCACCGCAGCCGAACTCCAGCAACCAATCAATCATCTCAAGAACGACAAGTGCAAAGACACCGCGGGGCTCACAGCAGAAATGCTTAAAGCTGGGGGCGCCACCATACAAGATCACCTACTCCGACTCTACAACGACATCATCATACATAGTCAGACACCACCGGACCAGTGGAATACCACCACAATCACCGCATCTTACAAACCAGAAGACCCACAATTCCCAGGCAATTACAGGCCGATTGCCATTATCCCATTGCTCTACAGATTGATGTTTCGCCTCCTTTGCAACCGTCTGAACTCTCTGTTCGACTCGCAACAGTGCCCTGACCAAGCAGGCTTCCGCAAGGATTATTGCACGGAGGACCACCTGTTCATTACTGGCAGCTACCGCTGTGGGTAGCAGCGATCGACTTTAAGGCGTTCGACTGTGTAGACCACGAGCAAGTATGGGAAGCTTCGCGACAACAGCACATACCTCCTGCGTACATAAACTTTTTTTTGTTCAAACAGTTGTACTGCACCCAAACGGCAACAGTCAGGACAGACACCACCAGCACACCAGCAGGGCTTTCAGTATCGAATGTGGCGTGGAACTGGGAGACCCACTGAGCTCTTTCTTGTTCAATGCTGTCCTCGAGCAGGTGTTCATACACATTACACCTGAGTGGCAACGCGAGAATTTCGGGATCCAGCTGGGCTTCACGCCACGAGCACAGATCACAATTTTTTTTTCGCCGACGATGTCTTGCTCTACGCCCCCAACTTCCGACAACTGTCCTGCTTGCTCCGAGATGTACAGTCCCAAGCCAAGACATGCGGTTTGGCATTGCACCCGGACAAGACCAAGATCCTGACGAACGTCAGCCGGAGAGAGGGGAGAACAATTTCTCATGTCGACGTCCACGGCGAACGCATCGACAAACTTCGTTCCGACCAGCACGAAGTATTGCGAAGGCCTTACGGCCGTTGCCGCCGACCCTGAAGATGACGAAAGACAACACGAGGGGGGGGCAGGATGAGGAGGAGGAGGAGGAGGAGGAGGAGGAGAAGGAGGCGGAAGGGAGTAGGAGGAGGAAGGGTGAAGAGGAGGAGGCCTTATGGATGTTGGTTGGGATCTCGTGGTTGACCTCTCGGGGGCGTCTGGAAGGCAACTTGAAGCCTCTTGGGGGCCGTTGTGGGGCCTCTTGGGGCCTCTTTTGGGCCTCTTGGGGCTTCCGGAGGCCGTCTTCGGCGCATCTTGGGGGCGTCTTGGCGCCGCTCGGGGGCCTTTTGGGGCCTTTTGGGGGCCTCTTGGGGCTTCCCGGGGGCCTCTTAGGGCGGAAGTCTCGAATTCTCGGTTCCTCGTCCCCCTCTTGGCCGTTTCTTGGGCCCGTCTTGGGGCCCTATTGGGCCGTCTTGGGCGCCTCTTAGGCTGTCCTGGGGCCTTCTTGGGCCGTCTTGGGGCCCTCTTGTAGGCCTCTTGGGGCGCTCTTGGGGGCCTCTTGGGGGCCTCTTGGGCCGTCTTGGAGTGTCGGAAAGCCGAAAAGGCGAGAAGGCCAAAATCATTCAAAAACCGATGTAAAATTGACGATTTTGGCGCCTGGGGCCCTCTTGGGTGTGCTCTTGGGGCTCTCTTGGAGCGTCTTGAGGGCCTCTTGGGCCGTCTTCGGGCCGTCTTGGGCGTCTTGGGGCCATCGTTCGTCGAGTCGAGGCCCTCTTGTACCCTTTTGGGGGTGTCTTCTGTCGCTCTTGGCTCGTCTTGAAGCTTTTCTGAGCTCCGGGACCCCCCGGGGAGGATGCGTATCTGGGTGGCGACCCCCCCCCCCCCCCGGCGACCCCCCCCGGCGACCCCCCCCCCCCCCCCCACCCCCCCCCGGCGGGGAGGGTAGGGAGGGGCTTCGCCACGACTCAACTACGACGTTGCTCAATGTCGCTTTGGCTCGCGCGCTCAAGGAGACGGGGAACGACGAAGACGACGAGGGACAACGGAGACGGAGACGACGAGGACACGACGGAGACGACGACGACGACGACGACGACGGTGGTCCACGCAAGACGACGACACCGGGATGCGTCTTCCACACGCCGACAGGGTCGGCGGATTTAGGAATCACGCTTACGTTCCGCGACTTCCACGAGACAGAGCTACGCAATAGGATTGCCGCAGGATGGGGTCGTTTCGACAAGTTAATATACGAACTGACACACAAGCGTTTTCCCACTCCACAGTCGACATGCTGTTCAACGGAACAATCACAGCATCAGTGATGTACGGGTGCTCCTCTTGGACCCTCACCAGCGACATGTTTCTCACTGTACGGCGCGCACAGCGGAGGATGTTCAGGCTTGTCATCGGGATGCCAAGGCGTCGCAATATACAAAACCACATTCGCGACACTGACACCAACGAAGCGACCAGCGCCGACGCAGCAGACTCCCCCATCCACCACGACAGAGCCGACGACAGAGAAGACGACGACGGTTTGGAACTGTGAGAAGAATTCGTACGAAGATCGACGCACGCAGCCCCAGAACATGTTCGGCGCGCGGGCGTAGAGGATTGGCCTACGGTATACTTCACACGGAAGTGGCGGTGGGCATCGCGCGTCGCAACCCACGATTACGACAGATGGGCGCGGCTCTCACTACGATGGACCCCGAACACCCACGACCCACGCCAAACCTTACGACGCCACGGAGGACAAAGGAAAATATGGGATGCCGAGATCACACAATTCGTACGCACAGTCAATACACACGATGGAGACGACGACCACAAAAGGTGAATCCACATTGCGACGGACAAGAAAGCATGGTCGGCGTTGGAGCCGAAATTTCTGCCTTAAATCAATTGTGGAGATTGTGCGAAACCCCCACTTCACGGTCTGAGTCCTCCCTCCTCCCCCCTTCCCCCTCGATTGCGGTTCTTTCTTGGCGTTCCGGCGCCACCGCTGGGCTCTCGTAGGGCCGCCCCCGCCGGGGCGATTGACCGGCGCCTCGCCTCGCCTCGCCTGGGGGGCCTCTTGGGGGCCCTTGGGGCTTCTTGGGGGCGTCTTGGGCAGTTTTGGGGCGCTCTTGCGCCGTTCGGCCCCTTCGGAGGCCGCCTTGGGGGCCTCGAGGCCGCCTTGGGGCGATCTTGGGGTCCCCTTGGGCCGTCTTGGGGGCCTCTGGGACCGTTTCGGGGGCCTCTTTGGGTCATACTCGGGCCCTCTAGGGCTGTCTTGGGATCCTCTTCCAGGCTTCTTGGGCCGTCTTGGGGCAATGTCGGAGGCTGTTTGGACCGCCATGGGAGTTTGAGAGTCGAGAATGCCGAGAACGTTCAAATCCTTGAAAACCTAATGGGACACCAATGATGTTGGCCTCTGGAGGCGCTCTTTGGGGTCCTCTTGGGGCCCTCCAGGGCCGTCTTGGGGTCTCTTTAAGCCCTCTTGAGGCCATCCCGGACCATTTTGGGGGCGTCTTCGCCCGTCTCAAAGCCATCTAGAGCCGTCATGAGGCCCTCTTGGGTACTCCAATAGGGCGAACAGGCCGGAAGCACAGATGCTTTTATAGGTTCTGTTTGGTTTGAGGCCCCGGGAGGGGGGGTCAGGTTGGGTCGACGGATGTGGCGTAGCGCTGGGGGGGGGGGGTAGGGGGAATATGCTTCCGCAGAAAGCGCTGCCGCTCAGCATTTCGCTTCCGGACGTGGATTCATTTCGCTTCGCGGGGTGCACGTCCGGACGCGTAGAGTCCAGTCTTTGTGATGCCTTTTGGGAGCCGCGTGGGGGCGGCTACCCGTCCTTGGTCGCGTTTGTGTCGTCTTGCAGTTTTGGAGTCCGGGCCGGTGTTCATTTTGGAACCGCCTTTTGCGTTCTCTTGGGGTCATGTTGGCCCGTTTTGGGGGGCTCTTGGACCGCTTTTGGGGTTCTCTTAGAGTTCTTTTCTGCTTGTGAACCTCATATTGCTGCCTACCTCCTCCCGCTTCGTTCGCTTCCTCCTGCCTGCCCCTTTTCGGCCTACTTCATCCTCGTGTCCGCTCCCCCCATAATCCTCTTTGT